ATGTAAATAATTCTGCAAGTTTACTCCCAACATGTAGTCAGAATAGTGACTGGTAGCAGGAAAATATTTAAGAGTTCATTCTTCTTTTTAATAATATATATTTAACATATATGTTATGTAACATATATATTAGAAGATATATAACATGTAACATATTTAATATATTTATATGTTGTATATGATATATAAAATTTGTATGTACATAAAACATATGTGACATATTTTTATATATAATCCCTCTCCAATCATGCCACTCTAAAAAGAGAACACCCTGATATTGATACATTGTTAGGAATACTGAGATGAAAAACTATTTTGTGTTCTTGTTCCTTAAAATAGCAATTTATCAAACCTATTAAAATCGAAATATTATAGAGCTAGTTTTTTAGTCTTATAAATGGACTACTCTGAGTTTTCTGAGAGCACAGATGTACTTCTACTACATTTGTTTCTGATGATAGCACACTACAGATGGACTTTTTTTTAAGATTTTATTTATTTATTTATTTGAGAGCGAGAATGGGAGAGAGAGAGAACATGAGAGGGGGGAGGGTCAGAGGGAGAAACAGACTGCCCACTGAGCAGGGAGCCCGATGTGTGATTCGATCCCGGGACTCCAGGATCATGACCTGAGCCAAAGGCAGTCACTTAACCAACTGAGCCACCCAGGCACCCCAGATGAACTTTTTTCCTAGATTTGTTTAGAAATCAGAATATAATGTATGTAGTTAAAATCATAAAGTTGCATTTTTTTAAGATTTTATTTATTTATTTGACAGAGAGAGAGAGAGAGAGAGAAAGAGAGAGAAAGAGCACAGCAGGGGGAGGGGCAGGCAGAGGGAAAAAAACAGGTTCCCTGCTCAGTGGGGAGCCCGATGTGGGACTCAATCCCAGGACCCTGGGATCAAGACCTGAGCCAAAGGCAGATGCTTAACTGACTGAGCCACACAGGCACTCCATAAAGTTGCATTTTAAACATAAACTTTACAGAAATGCCACATAGTGGCTTTCTTTCCCATACTGAAAACTTTGATAAAACAACTCTGTTTTAAAATTAAAGAAGTGGTGGACCACAGAAATTATACTTCTCAAGTTCTTAAGTTTTATGTTATGAGTAATACTTCTGTTTTTATTTTATTTTTTTTAAGATTTTATTTATTTATTCATGAGAGACAGAGAGAGAGAGGTGGAGGGAGAAGCAGGCTCCCAAGGAGCAGGGAGCCCGATGTGGGACTCGATCCCAGGACCCCGGAACCATGACCTGAGCCGAAGGCAGACGCTTAATCATCTGAGCCACCCAGGCACCCAATACTTCTGTTTTTAAACCAAGGGTCTAAATGGTTAGTAATTGTGACCAAAAATGCAGATGTTGCCTAGCATACAAGCTCCTCAAATTATTTAATGTGCCACCTGGTACCACTTCTAACTCACAAGTCATGAACCTGAGGTACAGTGGTAAGCTTGTTAAATATTTTTTACAAAATCATTTTTGATTATTGACTAACATTTGAAAATTTCCTAAATTTGGCACAATTTGAGTACTACCACCTGAATGAAAAATAACACCTGGATGCTCTCTGCCAAAGGTCATTAGGACAAAAGAGGAATTCCAGTTTCTTTTCCTCCCAGGGCTGTTTAAGGAAGCAATTAGGGTTCACATTATGGAAAGGAGGGAGGTGGGAGAGTGAAAGGATGCTGAGGGCCAGTGAAGGTCAATAAATACGCAGAGAAAGAAAAGATGAAATGGAAGAACAGATATATATGGCTACCCAATCTGAACACTGGTCTAAAAAATCTTTCTGATATTCTTTCTGTCACAGATTTTTTAAAACTGTGCTTTTAATGTTTCTTACTTTAATAGGAAATGGGTAGGCTTAAAATTATACTTCAAAGCATTAATTTTACTGGCAAATTGAATAATCAGTTACATAACAAGCATGGTTAAGTTATAGTGTGTGATATGTTTGAGATTTCAGGGAGCACAAAAATGATTAGATGAATACACAATAGTTCTAAGATAGACCCGCTCATTTCTTCAGACCAAAACCCACCTGAGAAGTAGATAATTCTGCCAGTCCTGAGTTACAAAGCTCTCATCTTTTCTTCTCATGTAGATAATGTTTATATGAGCTATATTTTTGATAACCACTGTTTAGGATTCCATTTTCACGTCTATTATCATTTATTGATGAATATTAGCTCAATTAAAAATAACAGCCAAGTAAAAAGGGCTCAGAAAGTGTAATGGGGAATTCTTGGTCATCTAGCAGACACAGCTTGATTATTAACTCAAACTACTGCATATTTTCCGGAAAGTTTATGGCTGACACTTCAGCTTTTAAGTATAAAACCACAGTGAAAAAATAAATTCAGGCAATAGCTTTTGTTGAATATTTTCTCTTCTTAAATAAAGCAGTTGAGTCACAATGCAACCAAAGACACCAAAAAGGCAGGATCTTTAAAACAAAAATCTATTTCTCTAGGAAAATAAAATACATTATAACTGTATTTTGGTGAGGAACTGAAGATGTCTTTCTAAGAAACTTTTGCTATATTATAAAGCATATACTTTCTTAAATGTTCATATATATTTTTCAATAAATGGATTATACTTTGATTGCATCAACATTTCTACATCTTAAAAGTATGACTGCTATATTCCATCAGATCATTAATTAGTTTAATTTCCTGAAAATTAAAATTTTCAACTTCAATGAAACTTAAGTCTTAAAAGTAACTACCATTTTGCTTCCAAGTTTTGAGAGAGTATATATACTTAATTCTTCTAATCTACTTACATACAGAACACAACTACTAAATCCATTTCATAGATTTGACATGGGCATTATGATTCAGTTTCTTAAATCATTTCAAAAAGTAGATGCTTATAAATATTTTATTTATATAGTAAAAAAGTCATTAAGAGCTAATACTTTCCTCTTTTTCTTCCTGAAAGCAAAACTAAATTTCAAAATAAAATAAAAAAAATTAAAGTCATTTCAGGAAACAAATTTTAAAATAATAGTAACTTCTCATGTCTAGAACTGAACTTCTAGCCAGATGAAATTAGCATCTCATCAACATTCATTATAATACCGATATTCATATACACAGTATATGGTATTAAATGATTAACTTAATAAAATTTAATTAAAATGATTCACTGATACTTCATGAAGAACACTACCATAGACACCAAATTTTAAAAAATATATATTTCTTTTTAATGTTTCTTTAATTCCTCTTAAAACAGAGTTCTCTTTCTATTCATATGTATTTCTGATTTGAAGTCCTGATAGTGATTTGCACTATCCGATTGTCCCTAACAAAGATTTCATATGACAAAAAGACAACAAGACTCAAAACCACACACATATATAAAATTTTCTTTGAGAAGAAATAAGCACCTATACTGCACCTTCAAAATTTGTCACAAAACTACCAACAAGATAAAATGGACATATAAGCAGTTGGATATGAATTTTCACTCATTCATTTTTTTTAATGAACCAGTAGGTCTTAAAAAAATATGTGAAACTAAATCAAAATCACAAGTAGTGTACTTTAGTTTAGCACAATTTCTTGATTAACTTAGCCAAAAATTCTTCACATATGAAATATTCCATTAGTTGGCCGTATGACAATATGAGAATTTCTGTTCAACACAATATGGCTAATGCAATTAAGTTGACTTTATAACCACATTGTCATCTAAAGAAGACAATTAAATGAGCCAGAAACAAAACTTTAAAAAGCAACCTTGGAAATAACTTTTTCCTACAGCCATTACCAAACCCTTTTTGAACTGATTAACTATGCAAGAAAAGCAGCATAAAGCTGAAGAAGGGGCACTAACATCATTACCTGGCTTACCTAAGAACTCATAAAAGTAAAAGGCTCTAACCATTTTATTTTATTAGAGCCTATAATATATATATTGTGCTACTTTTCTGCAGTTTGAGTAACACTAATCATTTCATACTTTTCCTTTTTTCTACCATCTAAAAAAAATCTTAATCCTAGATTCATATTTATTTTTTGAAAAAAAAACATTAATCTGGGATATGCCCCATTGGTTGCAAAACACCATCACCCCCCAAAAAAAAGAATACACAGAAGAATTCTAGAAGGAAATTAGAGCGCACAAAATTCTATAATACAATCGGCCCCTGGTGACCATCAGTCTCACCAGATACTACTCTGTCTTCTACGTGTATTCAATGGTCATAGGTCCATTGCCTGATGGGATCTGTAGTCTCTAGAAAAAAAAGACTGCCTGAGTGATAGTCATTGACTTCTTTTTCTGAAACTATGAACCTATAGTCTTAAATATGTTGCAAATATCAATCTACTTCATTTTGTAGAGTTGATCAGTTCCATCCCTGATACTCTAAAACTGCATAACCTATCAGCCAAAATGAAAATGCATGTATATGAATATGTACATAGATACTACAAAATCCCTGGATAATGATATCTATAATCCATGTTTTATAATGTTGTAAATTAAGAATTATGGTTCTTAGAGGAAAAACGAATGCCAAAACTATCTATTTATATGAAAATAATACTTCAAATATACATGAAAACTTTTCACTTGAATACACTGGAATACTTTCTAGGCATTTCAGTACATATTATGCATATTCATACCTTTATTTGGGCACCAATTTTGTGTTTTTCATTATCATATCTTCATGTATTGATATATATATATATATATATATAATATTATCTTCCCCATATTCAGAAATTCTAAAATTTCTTTGTGTATTTATCACTTTTAGGCATCAATACTCAACATTTGCTAGCAAATCCCCTAAATACTTCAATCGCTATGTCATACCCATTTCATACAGAAAGAGTTACTCAAAATCATTTGGAAAGTGCTTTCCTAAACCCATTTAGAAAAGAGATATTTCCTCTGAATTATATAACCTTACTGGGTCCACAATCACTTCACATACACTCAACCTCCATCCCATTTCCCTTGATGGCACCTACCCTAGTGTAGTCATGGTGACGATGGTATACCAGAAGGCAGCAGGGATGCTGGTGAACTTGCTGGCTGAAGACCCCTTCTCTGCGTAGAACATGACTGTAGCAAAAATAATGATAGCCATGGTGAGCGAGAAGAGCAAGAAGCCCAATTCTGAGGCACAACTCTTCAGTGTGTACCCCAGGATGCGCAGGCCTTGAGAGTGGCGGGAAAACTTAAAGATCCGGAAGACCCGGAAGACTCGGAGCGTGACAAAGGCTCCGCTGACATCCTCATTGTCTGTCATCACCAGCCCGATGTAATAAGGCAGGATGGCTACCACATCGATGATACTCATGACACTACGCACAAAACGGTAACGACTAGGTGCTGCAGCCAGGCGAAGCAAGTACTCAACTGTGAAGATCATGACGCAGGCTGTATCCAAGCAAAAGAAGGCCACTGCATACCGCTCCCCACAAGGCAGTTCTTTAATGTGCCCGGGGCTAGACCCGCATGGCACTGTTTCTACCACATTCGCGATGACTGAGACAGCAATGAAAAACCCTGTAACATAGTAGAACACCAGGGCCATTGTGCTGGTGTGGGGGTTCTCAAATGCTCGCCAGACCCTCTGCCGAGCAGTCATAGTGGGCAGCGTGCTCTCTCCGGTGTTGTCAGTATCTGCGTCGTCCTGTAGACGCTCCGCGTTCTCCCGCCTGCGGTCCTTGTACTCCTCATAACAGCAGTCGCCAATAATCTCTGGGATGAGGCCAAAGAAGGCCAATTCTTCATCATAAGCAGAGATGCACTCATGGCGAGGATAGTGGAGCTTCCCGGTGCGGTAGAAATTCAAAATATGGCGGAAGATGTCTGGGTCACGGTCAAAAAAATACTGCTGAGTTTCCGGATGGTAGAAGAAGTCCCTCTCAGAACTGCCCAGCAGAGTGTCTGGATAGCGTTCCAGGGTGTCCTGCCATGTCTGGAAACGGGTGCCACTCACATTGAGCACAATCAGAGCATCTTGAGTCCTTTTTCTCTCCTGCCTCGGGGGAGCTGGCATGGGCCCCGAGGCCACAGGCATCCACCCAATGGCTGCTGCCCTGGCAAAGGGCAGCCAGGCTGCTACACCCGCCGCCATGGTTCCTTGACGTGGAGGCAAGAAGGGCAGTCAGGCCTCTAGGACGGGGCAAAGTAGCCACAATCACTCACTTCCTCCCGTCAAACAAAATACCACTGAGAAATGAGGTCCGGAAGTATCACTCCTATGCCAACGTAGGGCTCCTGGGGAAGTCACAGTTCGCAGAAGGGCAAGTTTCCCTCCAACACAGGAATTCGTAGTAGGAAGAAGAAAATACAATGTCCTAACAATCACGCCCAGCAGAACCTAACCAAACCCCTTCCAGCAGTTGAACCAGGCCACTCCTGTCACAAATAAGTACACAAGTGACTCTAGATGCAGCAATTTCTTCAAACAGGTGTCTGAGTTCTCCCCTGACACAGTCTGGATAATGTAGGGTCAGTATGCGTCGTGTAGGATACAGAAAACGAAGGGTAGTCACTCAGTGGTATTCTTTTGATGATTTAGAGAACCCTTCCACCTTCCCCTTTAGGTCTTTCAAACCTTCCCTTTCCAAGTGGCCCTTCCCGCCAAAGGAGTCTCAGAAAGGCGACCTGTTGTTGTAGCTTCCGAGATGCGGTCACAGCCGCTGCCCCATGTCTCTTTGGGAGTCCGGTCGCCGCCTCTACTCCTTGGGCCGTGTTTGCAGAGATGGAGGTGCTGTGCGGTGGGCACGGTGGGGGGCGTTAATACAGATCCTCCTCCCCCACGTCTACAAGCACCCCTGTGTCTGTCAAAAGCGTCTGCCCAATCGCCCCTTCACTATCTTTTTTCAAGTTCAGCTCAGGTGCAGTGTGACAGTTACAGAAGCCGGGAGCTGGCAGCCGCCGCCGCGACGGCGGCGGCAGCAGCAGCATCTGCTTCCACGCAGAACGCGCCTCGCTCGCGGTACATACCTGGCAGAGTGCGCGCCGGGGCTGAGTTGCATAGAGACTTTCTCCTCGCCGTGCACCCGGAAAGGGAAAAGCAGAGAAAGCAGCTCCCGAGCAGCCGAATCCGATGCGCTCAGACAGCATAAATAAAGCTCAAGCGAGCTCTTCTTCCCCTTCCCCCATCCCTCTATGCTTCCCTCCTCCTTTTCACCTTCCAAAAGCCAGGCGCAGGCGAGCCGAGCAGCAGCAACAAGTTCAAAAGGTGCGGGGGAGGCGAGAACGGAGGGGACTCGCTCCTGCCAACTTACTGCGCCGCCGCTGTCGCCGGGGCCCGAGCCGGGCGGTGCGGGGCTGCGGCGCTGCGAGGCTGCGGGGCGGCCGGGCGGGCGGCGGCGGCGGCAGCAGCACGGCGGGGCCGGGGCCGAAGCCGGTGCCGGGCCCGGCACGGGCAATCACCGGAGCGCAGAGGCAGGAGGCGCTCGGCAGCGCGGGGGCGCGGGAGGGCGGCTGGCTGCTTCCCCGCCAGTGGGTGGTCCTGCATCTCCCCCGGCTCCCCGCGCCGCTCTGCTCGTGCGATCAATAAATAAGGAGAAAATAAATAAATAACCGCGCGCACGCCCCACCACGCAGGTTATGAAAGGCGTCTCCTGCCTTTCCCTCGGCTTGACCTTTCTCCGCCTCCGCCCCCTCGGGCTCCTCTCGCTCCACCCCAGCCACCCACCAGCCCCGGCGCAAAATGTCACCGAGGGAGAGCATCCAGGTGGATCTGCCGGGGAGGAGAGCAGCCTGAACGAACAAAGGGAAGCTTCACGCGCTCGGCTGCGGTGGTTTGGTGGAGCAGAGGAGGAAGGGGACCGGTGCCTTGCTTCTGCCTCCCTGGGACCCGGTTCAAGGCGAGCGTGGGAAAAAAGGGAAAAAGAGAGAGAGAGAGAGAGAGAGAAGCTGGGAAGGAGGGTGAGCGGAGCGGAACGCGCAGGAATTGGTTGTCTTCTGGGGGCTACTGGGTAGCAAGACCTGCAGAGCCCCGCGGCGGAATTTTTAAGTGCTTTTCCCTCTTTCTCTTTTTATTTGTTCAAACCAGATGTGGAACGTTGCAGGACCTAATATGTCATCTATCCAACTTGCCGAAAAGTCAGACAGTCCTCTCGGACTAGGTCCTGCCACAACTCCCTTCTCGTCCCTTGAGAATGACAGGAAGGATTTAGAACCCTTTTCTAAATGTCAGCGTCAAGGGGCGTGAGTCTCTGTGAGCGTGCGTCCCCTTCCTTCTCTCTGCGTATCTCTGCACATCTCTAAAAGGGTTAAAGTAGTTTTATAAAGGTGTCCGTGTGCGGGGTAAGTGATGGGGTGAGAGACTAGGAAACTGTCGCGACCAACCGTTTTGTTTTTCGTGTACCCCGTCCCCCCCCCCCCGCCCAGTCATTAGGAATCTTCCTTAAAACCAAACATATACCACTTATAACCACTAGATGGCGTGAATGGAGAGAAGTTAAATTTACACCTACGGTTTGGACGCTTTGGAAAGGTGAAGGATCAAAATGAAGTGAAGATCCCAAAAAAGATCAGATCACATAAACACCCTCAATCCCCCACTCTCCATCCACCTTTTTAGTATTTATGTGAGATACACTACCCAGACTCGAGTCTACATTTCCATGGCTATGGGAGGAGATGTGGAGAGTTTCCTGTTGAAATGCCTTTGAAAATTAAATTTCGATTATGGAATAATAGTGATGATAAAGGTCTTTAGAAATAGTGAGACTTCATCTATATTGATTAAGGGGGGGAAGTCTAATTTTTACCTAAAAGTTACCTTTTCAAGGCTTCCTGTGTTCTTAGTTTGAAAAGTAAGTAGACTGTGATGTATAGTCTTGAATTGACTTTAAAGCCCTAGAGATCTTAGGCGGGATGTGTTAACCTTAAAAATCTGAAATGGAATACCTCAACAAAAGGATACTAACAAAAAATAGAGTATACAGAAACTCACCAGAGAAGGAGAAAAACAAACTTTCTAATGTGCAGGATTTTTTGTAGAGATGGAAAGATATTTTTATTTACTTACTTACTGGTATAGAGGTTTGGGGAATCCCATGTTAGTAGTTAATGAAGTCAGAGCTAATGCACCATGAAAGTTTGGAAACACAGAACCGAAAACACCTGCTGTTTATCTGTTTGGGTGAGTTGCAGTGAAAGATGCTTGTTAACAAATCTACATAGCCTGCATACATGAAAAAAATGTTAACTGAAAAATAAAGAGGAGACTACTTAACAATTACTGTAAGAAAATTAACCCCTTCTTAATCCAGAAAATAAGGTGCCAGCATTAGAGGTGTCTCCAAAGAATGGAGAGCCATGAATATTCAATCGATGCCAAACGGGCATGACCTCCCATAAACACCAGGCAGGCGATCCTAAATAGAGCCTTTAAAAGTTCCCTGAAGGAAACTGAACACTTAGAAATATAAACATAGATGTTTAACACTACAAAAACCCTTAAATAAGCAAGAATAGAAAATCCACAATTTTTAAGAAGACTTTGAGATCTGTTCTCCCCCACTCTCCACAAGCTTCTTGATACAACAGAAAAAATGTGGGCTTAGAAGCTGAACCCATCTAGATTCAAATTCTAGCCCAAGAAATTACTCATAGGCGTTGTTTCATCTGGCAAATTACTTAACTTTTGTTCAGAAGTTGCAGATAATAAAACTTTCTAAGTCTATTGTGAGGTTTAAACAATAATACTTCTGAACACCAGTGTAGAACTTGATACACACAAATGGTACTCAATATCAATTCCTTTTTATTTTAATGCCTAATGGAAATGCAAATTATTTTATCCACCCTGTATTTGAAATTCCCACAGGTATCGCTATGTTTACCCTTTTCTTAGTTCAAAAGTTCCCTTGTTGTGATATACCAGTGACCCTGATATTTCAACTATTCATTCATGCATTGAAATGCTATATGAAGAGTATGTATACAAAACCGGCAGAACATTCTCTCATTCTCTACGTTTCTCTTGCCCAGGGATTCCTGTTCTTCCTTCTTGTATTCTCATTTTATATACTCCGCTTGGTTGATGGAAAATAAACTCAGCAAGATCAAAACTGAATTCATCACCTCTCCTCCTCATCTACTCAGTTTTCTCTCCTGATGAATAAAGCCCAAGGTAGAAACCTCGTGGTCATTCACAGACCATGTCCTGTTCTTCACCACCTCCCTGCATGCACCCCCAAATGCACACACTCATTCAATGATCCAATAAGCTTGTATATTCTACCCTCATTCTCCGTCTATCCTTACACTGCACCTACAGTGATATTTTAAAATCTATTTTGAGATTAATTATAGATTCACATGCAATTGTGAGAAGTAAGAGATCCTTTACTCCAATCACCTAGTTTCCCCCAAAGTTAACATTTTGCATATTACAGTACAATATCACAAGCAGGAAACTGACGTTGATGCAATCCACTGAACTTATTCAGATTTTACCAGTTTTACATACACTAATTTTTGCATGTTTATACTTCGTGCTGATTTTCTCACATGTATATATTTATGTGACCACCATCACAGTACACATATAAAAGATTTCCATCATGAGGATCCCTTTTTATAGTCATAACTGTCGCCCTCCCTCCTCCCTTCCCTATCCCTTGCCAACCACTAATCTGTTCTCCTGTATAGTTTATCAATTCATAAATATTATAATTTTTTAAATATTTTATTCATTTGACAGAGATAGATACAGCGAGAGAGGGAACACAAACATGGGGAGCGCTAGAGGGAGAAGCAGGCTTCCCACTCTGTGGGAACTTGATTCCAGGATGCTGGGATCATGACCTGAGCCGAAGGCAGATGCTTAATGACTGAGCCACCCAGGCGCCCCCAATTCATAAATATTATATAGAAAGAATCATGCAATATAAACTTCCCAGATTGTCTTATTCTACTCAGTAGAATTAGTTGAGATTTATCCACATTGTTGAATGTATCAACAGTTCATTTCTTTTTATTGCTGACTAGTACCACACTTTAATTAAGCATTCACCCACTGAAGGACATTTGGAGAGGTTCCAGTTTGGGGCTTTTATGAATAAAGCTGCTATGAATGAACATTCATGTAAGGTTACTGTGTGAACATAA